TTGATGCAGATGCTGCTGATGATGATGGTGATGATGCTGTTGACGATGATATTGATGACGATAATTGATGATGCTGCTGACGATGCTGATGCTGATGCTGTTGATTGTCGTGGTGGTGATAATGCTGATGCGGATACGGATGACGGTGACCATGGCAATGATGATGCTGACGATACCGACGATGATGACGATGACGATGATGGTGCTGATGATGCTGCGGCTGATGAGCATGATGATGATGATGATGCTGATGCTGATGATGCTGATGATGTTGATGACGATGTTGATGATTGGGATGGTGGTGGTGGCTGTGATGATGATGATGCTGATGATGCTGATGATGACACGGTGACGATGCTGATGGTGGTGATGCTGTTGATGCTGATGATGATGACGATGGTGATGATGATAATGATGATGCTGATGCTGATGCTGCTGTTGCTTCTGCTGATGATGATGATGCTGCTGATGCTGATGCTGATGCTGATGCTGATGCTGATACTGGTGCTGATGCTGATGCTGCTGCGGCTGCTGCTGCCGACGATGATGATTCTGATGATGATGACGATGATGATGCTGCTGATGATGATGATGACGACGATGATGATGATGATGCTGCAGCTGCTGCTGCTGCTGCTGATGATGATGATGATGATGATGATGATGATCGGATACGGAGGAGGGGGAAGGGGGGGGAGGAGGAGGAGGAGGAGGAGGAGGAGGAGGAGGAGGATTAGGAGGAGGAGCAGGAAAAGGAGAGGAGCAGGAAACGGAGGAGGAGGAAGAGGACAGGGGAGGCGGCGAGGAGGAGGAGGATGATGATGAGATTATGAGGAGGAGGAGGAGGACGAGGAGGAGGAGGAGGAGGAGGGAGGAGGAGGAGAGGAGGTGAGGAGGAGGTGGAGGAGAGGAGGTATTATTAGTAGTAGAGGGAGGGAGGGAGGGACGGGAGGGAGGGAGGGAGGAGGGAGGCGGAAGGGAGGAGAGGAGGCGGACGAGGAGTAGGAGGAGGAGGAGGAGGAGGAGGAGAGGAGAGGAGGAGGTGGAGGAGCAGGAGGAGGAGGAGGAGGAGAGGAGGAGAGGAGGAGGAGGAGGGGGAGAGGAGGAGGAGGAGGAGTTTTTTGAGGAGGAGGAGGAGGAGGAGGAAGGAGGGATGATGGAGGAGGGGGAAAGGGGGGGGGGAGGGGGGAGGGGGGGGGAGGGAGGAGGGAGGAGGATGAGGAGGAGGGGGCGGAGCGAGGAGGAGGAGGAGGAGGAGGCGGAGGAGAGGAGGAGGAGGAGGAGGAGGAGGGGACGAGAATAGGAAGAGGAGGAGGAGGAGGAGGAGGAGGAGGAGGAGGAGGAGGAGGAGGGAGGAGGAGGAGGAGGAAGAGGAGGAGGAGGATGAGGAGGAGGAGGAGGATGAGGAGGAGGAATAATAAGACTAATAAGCAGACGAATAGTAATACTAACAATACGAATAATAATAAGAAGGATGCGAATACGAATAATAATAATAATGATAATAATGATAATCAGAAGGATAACACTCAGACGAATAGTGATAATACGCATGAAAATAATAATAAAACAAAGAATAGTACGAATACTAAGAAGTATAAGACGACGAATAATAATACTACGGCGAATCATAATTCTAAGAAGAATATTGCGAATAGTAATAATACTAAGCATAGTAATAATAGGACTACGAATGCGAATGCGACGAATACTACTAAGGAACAGACGAAGACTAATACCACTAATGCCACTAGGAAGAAGACGAATACTAAGCCGACGACGAATACGAATACTACGAATAAGAAGAATACGACTACGAAGACTAATGCTAAGACTGATAATAATAATCGTAAGACGAAGACTCCGAACAATAAGAATAACAGCAACACTAATACTATTAATACGACGAATAATAATAGTAAGAATACGAAGGCTAATTACACGAATAATAATATGAATACGAAGAATACGAATACTAATAAGACGAATCATACGGCGACTGAGAATAATAATACTATTACTACTAAGAAGAATCCGAAGCATACGAATACTAATAATACGAATAGTACGACTAATACTAATAATACGAATAAGAATTTTATAATACGAAGAATACGCATACGGATAAGACGAGTACGAAGACGACGAATCACGCGAATACGATCAATACTAAGAATAAGAATAATCATACTAAAGAGAACAAAAAGAACAATCATAACACTCAGACTAATAATAATACGAATACGAATGAGACGAATGATATTACTACTAACGATACTACTACTACTGATAATAATATTAATCATACTACTAATAAGAATAGTAATACGAATACTAATAATACTTATACTACTAATAATACTACTACTAATCATAATACTAATAATACTAATTCTAGTAGCAATAACAATAATACTACCAATAATAATAATAGTAATACTAAAACTAATAATACTACTAATAATAATGTTATATTACTAATACTAATAATATTAATACTAATACTAACACTAATAGTACTACTAAATATACTAATAATAATACTAATACTATTAACAATGGTAATAATGATAATAATACTAATACTATTAATAATACTATTAATATTAACATTATCAATACTATTACTAATAATTGCACTACCAATAATACTAATAATGATAATAGTATTAATAATACTAATAACAATAATAATACTATTCATAATAATAATAATGATTATAATAATAACAACACTAATAATAATATTAATAATACTACTAATAATAATAATAATAATAATAATAATCATAATGCTAATACTAATAATAATCACAATAATATTCATAATCGTAATATTATTATTCATAATACTACGAAGAAGACTGCGAACAATAAGAATACTGATGATACGGATATTAATACTAACACGAAGAATGAGGAGGAGGAGGAGGAGGAGGAGGAGGAGGAGGAGGAGGAGGCA